CAGCCCGCTCCTCGCAGGCCGGGTGTCGGAGCCTTGGCCCTCCCTCCAGTCAAGGGCGTGGGAGGCCGAGGCCCGGCTCGCTCCGTGACCTCCGCGTCCTCGAGGGAGCAGAGGAGAGAGGCCTTGACTAGCCCCTTATCTCCGCCGTAAGTCCGCTGGGTCAGCATCGGGTAAAGTCTCCTTCCTAACCCCTGGCCACCTGCAGGTCCGACGGTACTACCTGTTCTTTGATCTGGCTTTAATTTCCTTCTGCAAAGCACTCCCTCCTCCGTTAGGTGTTGGCTCAGGATAGTGTGGGATAACGGGGTCTCTCTCAATGCGGCTGGTGGAGGCGGCGAGGAGCAGCCTCAGATATCTGGGCCGTAGAAAGGACGTCATTGGTATAGGATCCCTTAGGTCTTATTTCTGGGGATTCTTGGTGGTTAGGCGCCATTTAAATGAATTGTGTGAGAGACCTGAAAACGAACTTGTAACTCCAGCACGGTGACATCGTGCCTGTAAAATCTCAGGTCTGTTTTTCTTAAATCGGGTATGTCTTTCTGTTGCTAAGCCTTTAGTGTGGGTAGAAAACCCTTTCCCTAGCATTCCGTCCTTCCATTTCGGAAGGGAAAGCTAGCGCCCTTGGCGTAGTCCATGGGCTTGAGGGCAGGAATGGATGTTTCCCCAGCTGTGTGCGCTGTGGGAATCCAGTGGGGGTGGGACTGGTCAGTGGCTGGGGTCAACCTAGGATTTGGCAAGCGGAGTGCTCCTTCCGAGTTTGATTTGTACTCTGAAGTGCGTTCTTACCAGCGATTAATGATTGGAAGTTTGATTTTAATCATTAATGTAGGAAACTTTTTTTTCCTTACAGATGGGATCTTCATCATCTTTTGGTGATTGTTTTAATTGTGACCGTGAATTTCTTGTTACTCGAGCTAGGTGGAAACTCACCTTTCAACTTAATTGTAAACAGGTGGCCAGAGCTATTCAGTTGCGATAGTACAATTATTTCACAGGGAAACAGTTCTCTTCATTCCCATGGCCTTCGTCATCTGAAGAAATACTTACTTGATTTTTTTTTTTTCCCCAATCAGAGGAGTATAGCTGTGACTATGGATCTGGCAGATTCTTTATCCTTTGTGGAATTGGAGGAATTATTAGCTGTGGCACAACACATACAGCATTGGTTCCTCTAGATCTGGTTAAATGCAGAATGCAGGTTTGTTTTGCATGTGGGACTGAATAAAGCATATTGTTGGCGCATGGCTAAGTTGTAAGATGTAGTCATCTACTAACAAGCTGTGTGGGAACCTAACTGTCCAGGAGGTAAGTTGAGAACCAGTAATAACATGAGTTTTATACTAAAATGCATGGTGTGTCTTGTCTTATTACAGAGTACAGTTGTGAATATGGCTCCATGAAGTTTTATGCACTGTGTGGCTTTGGTGGGGTCTTAAGTTGTGGTATCACACACACCGCCGTCGTTCCTCTGGATTTAGTGAAATGCCGTATGCAGGTTTGTATTGGGATAACAATGTTAAAAGCTTTCATGTGGGACTTAATTCCAAATAATCTTAAAGGACTTCACAAATGAGAAGAATTTGAAAACAGAAGAACTGCTAGAAACTTTAGTAGGAAACCAAACCTGAATTTCTTTGTTTTAATTAGCATTTTAAATCCAAGAAATGCCTCTTTTAAAATAAGAATGTGGGTAGATTGTTGGATCTTAGACTCTGGCTGTAAATATTTTTTTGCTGTTGGGCTCATTTCTGGCTAGAGTGCCTCTTCAAGACCTACTGGTTCTTTATGTTCCAAGTAGTCATTTTATAAGCAGTTACATGTCAGAGTGGGTAATCATTCTTTGTATTATGTGAAGTAACTTTACATCTCTTAATTGATAAGATTAAGGCAGACAGTGCTATGTAGATTTAAAAATGTATCTTAAGCTTTTTATATATTCACTTACATAAAAGGTTTTTAAATAATTAGAATATCTTGACTAGAATTATTGAAGCAAAAATAATCAAACCTTAAAAATTTATTTGTTCCAAACAGGATTAGAAGTCTACTTACCTAAAAGAGAAAGGAAGTGAAATATTAGCAGGGAGAGGAAGGTGATGTATACCGGCCCTTGTAGTACTGGCAGAAATAGTGAGATAAGATTTCCCCCACCACCACTTAGTTAATAGAATAGATATGAAATATACCTTCTTTAATACTTTTTATGCATGTCTCTTGAAGTGAGTTGAGGTCAGAAGACAGATACTCATTATGTTGATGTACCTTTTTAACTTGTATTTAGTTTGATTGTATTAAGTTCACAAAACTTGGACTTTATAGTGTAATCTACTTAATGGGCTAGCCTATATCAGAGATATACAGGCAAGACCCTTCATGAGCAAAAAGATTATGAGTTGCTGAAAAGCTCAGGTGGTGGTTAGCATTTTTAGCAATAAAGTATTTTTTATTTAAGGTATGTACATTGTCTTTTTAGACAATGCTATTGCACACTTAATAGACAACAGTATAGTGTAAACATAACTCTTATGCACTGGGAAACCAAGAAATGTGTGTGACTTGCTTTATTGTGATACTATCTTTATTGTAGTGGTCTGGAACTGAACCTGCAATATCTCTAAGGCATGCCTGTAGAGTTATCTGTTATTTAGACAGCAGTTTTGAAACTAAATCTTTAAAATGGTAGAGTTGGGTGGTGAGAACTCTCTTAGAGTCAGTTTTGTTATGTATTTTTGTATTGTAGACATTTTACCCTCTGAACTAACCCTCCAAGACTTAAGTCTAACTGAAAGAAAGATAAACCTCATTGTACACCAAGCATGTCAAACTCGCGGCTTGTGGGTCACGAATTTGACATGCTTGATGTACACATTTACAAAGATAATTATAGATAATAAGCTGTTACATGTGGTGAGCTTATGTTGTTCTACCTTTTGTGTAGTTGCTGAAGTTTATTTTAGAACCAAATGGGAAGAAAAACTAATAAGAAAATTAAGTATTTATGAGAAATGTTAGCTCTTTGGTACATTTTTTTTCTTTTTGTTTTAAATATAGGTGGACCCCCAGAAGTATAAAGGCATATTTAATGGATTCTCAGTTACACTTAAAGAGGATGGTGTTCGTGGTTTGGCTAAAGGATGGGCTCCAACTTTCATTGGCTACTCTATGCAGGGGCTCTGCAAATTTGGCTTTTATGAAGTCTTCAAAGTCTTTTATAGCAACATGCTTGGAGAGGTATGTAAGTTAACTTTGCAATTGAAAGTCCTGAGCTTTTAACTTAAAGTTTAAAACCAAAAAGGATCTTAGATTTTTGTCTGACCCACCTCATTTTAGAACTGAGGAAATGGTCTCAGAAATGGTAAGCAACATGTTTTGAATTATAAGTCTGTTCTAGCAACAAGATGAAAAAAAATACATATATATATCATTATATTTCAGTGCTCTTTTTATTATACACCGCTGCTTTCCAAAAAGTTGGATTTTGAGTTTATGTCAAGAGTTTATTAAGGGAATTTACACACTAAGCATGTCTTGGGTGGCAGCAAGACAAGGCATGGATGTCCTACCACATGGTAGGCACTAAGAGTTATTTAGGACTGGGAGAGATGGTTGGGAGACTTGCATGTGACCTTCCCCAGATAAAGGGAAAATGCCTTACATGCTTGCTTGTGGCAGGGCAACGGAACCCACACATCTGGGGTGTAAGGGACAGGTCCATCAGGCAGTCTTTGGGTGAATTTTCAGGAAGCAATCTCTGTTCTGGATCTAAAATGAGGTTCCAGCAGTGGTCACTCATGGCACAGTCTCTCCTCCACAGATTCTTTAGTGTAGTTCAGGGATCAGCCATTCTTGGTACCTAGATGTTAAAGCTATTCACATTGCACTGTGGTTGAAGTTTTGAGAGGTAAACATATTCAGTCTCATATCATGTGTATTATCCATGTGCTGTATAATAGAGAAACACTTAAAATGTCTGAAATTTAACTGTTTCCTAGAACTTTCCCTTAAAGTAAAATTGAAAATAGCCAATTCACTTCCCTCGTGTTTTTCAATTAGGAAAACACCTATCTCTGGCGCACATCACTGTATTTGGCCGCCTCTGCCAGTGCTGAATTCTTTGCTGACATTGCCCTGGCTCCTATGGAAGCTGCTAAGGTTCGAATTCAAACCCAACCAGGTTATGCCAACACTCTAAGGGATGCAGCTCCCAAAATGTATAAGGAAGAAGGCTTAAATGCGTAAGTAAACATTTGCCTCAATTTATAGTATAAGGTACTCATTTGAGAGAACTGCATTTGTTAACATTAAGCCTACCAGACTTTAAAAATTTTTTGTTTAATGTCCATCCCCTCAACCCCTTTACATAGAACATAAACTCCAGGGGCAAGAATAAGTTGATAACATGGTTTGAGCCCTGAATTAAGAATTTTCTCTAAAGTAGGGAGGGAGGGACCATTTGTCAATCTACAAGTGACTTGATATTTGACATAAACATTAACTGTTAACTTTTGGGGAGACTTTATTTAGAATTCTTGTCATCTGTATTCACAGTTAAGAATTTGCATATGGTCAGGCCACAACATGCTTCCTTAGATCCACCTTTGTGGATGCCAATCTTGAACTGAGTTCTACTTGTAAACTTTACTGTTTCTTGTAGTTCCAGTCAAGAAACATCCAGCAACTTTTTGGTTGTACAGTCGAAGGTGCTTGAGTCATTGGCATGTGAGATAAATATACCTGCATGTTAGTCTTAGGTTCTGATACAAATGGCATGCCATTGTGCTGCCATTTTTGTGCTATCAGGACTTGACTGGTGTGCGGACACTTCTGTTAATGATGGAAATTGTGCTAGATAAATATATTCAACTGACTAAAATAAGTCCTGTGATTTCCTAGATTCTACAAGGGGGTTGCTCCTCTGTGGATGAGACAGATACCATACACCATGATGAAGTTCGCCTGCTTTGAACGTACTGTTGAAGCATTGTACAAGTTTGTGGTTCCTAAGCCCCGAAGTGAATGTACCAAGGGAGAGCAGCTGATTGTAACATTTGTGGCAGGTTACATAGGTATGAATTACTTAGATCACGCTTGTCCGAAATGAAAGACAGAGTTATTTTCATTACTGACCTCTTGTGAAAAAATACTCTGAAGAAGTTATCTTCCCATAGCATTTCATATGACCTTCAGGATTCATTGTTTGCATGGTTAAGCTTGGGAATACATTGATTTGACTGCTCTCCTATTTGTTTTTTGTTTGTTTTGTTTAGAACAGATTTAAAAATACAAAAGAAAGTGTTGATTAAAAGCTGAATATAAAAACTTTTGAAAGATTGGGTAGATCGCTTTATAACCTTTCTTGTCAGTCTTACTCTAATTCTGATTTGTTCTTAAGAACTACAAAATTTTATTACTTAGTCATGTCAGTATTGTTGGCTGTGGTGTGGGTTTTTTTTTCTTAACTGACCCCATATTGAGTCATATTTCTTGACTTTTTTCAGCTGGAGTCTTCTGTGCAATTGTTTCTCACCCTGCTGATTCTGTGGTGTCTGTGTTGAATAAAGAGAAGGGTAGCACTGCTACTCAGGTCCTCCAGAGACTTGGATTTAAAGGTAGGATTGTTCTTCCTCTAAAGAAGGAATAACACTTTGGGGTATATTCCATTTTTCACTCATATTTCATTTTTTAACCAGGTGTGTGGAAGGGACTCTTTGCCCGTATCATCATGATTGGCACTCTGACTGCACTACAGTGGTTCATCTATGACTCCGTGAAGGTCTACTTCAGGCTCCCTCGCCCTCCTCCACCTGAGATGCCAGAGTCTCTGAAGAAGAAGCTTGGATTAACTGAGTAGATAGATCGATGCACATATGGACTGAATCTGCTTTTGGTCAGTGTTGACGGAAGTGCTAAAGGAACTTTTATATATTTGACAGTGTAGGAAATCGTCTATTCCTGATATAATTACTGTAGTACTCTTGCTTAAGGCACGAGTTTCAAATTTGCTGTTGAAATAAATCCAATTGGTCATGATTTGTGTGTGACTTGATAATTATTTTTAAAACTTTAGTTTTTAAAGATTTAATCCTAAAATGGAAAGAATTAGTATAAAACTTACAGAGAAAAATGCAAACTAACCACTGTTGGTTCAGTCCTCTGATCCCTACTAGCTAGCTGGTTTGGCTCTGGATAGAGCATTGGCCTGAGAACTGAAGGGTCCCGGGTTCAATTCTGGTCAAGGCCACATGCCTGGGTGTGGGCTTGATCCCCAATAGGGGCATACAGGAGGCAGTCGATCAATGATTCTCATCACTGATGTTTCTATCCCTCTTCCTTCTCTCTGAAATCATAAAAATATTGGCTCTGGCTGGGGAGCTCAGTTGGTTAGAGCATTGTCCAGATACACCAAGGTTGCAGGTTCAATCCCCAGTCAAGGCACATACAAGATAGCCAATGAGTGCATAAATAAGTGGACCAACAAATTGATGTTTCTCTCTAAAAGTCAGCCTGAGTTTTGCTAAGTTATGCATATGTAGTAACATGTAAAATAAAATTGGACTGAAAAAGAAGTAACAGCTTAAATCTCCATTTTGTGAAAACTTCATGAAGTGTTTTGAGCATACAGTGGGGCCTTGACTTACGAGTTTAATTCGTTCCGCGGAGCTCGTGTATGTCAAATCATTAAAGTGAACGAGTGAGACACGTGATGCTAGGCTGATGTGGCGTTCACTGTGATGTTCGTTCACTGTGATGTTCGCTGCGCCAACTAGAGGTGGGGTATCTGAAGCTGGCTGGTAAGCCGAATTTTAGCTCGCAACTCAAAGCAAAAAATCGGCTGAGAGACGGCTGGTATCTCGAAAAACTCGTTAGTCGGGACACTCGTAAGTCAAGGCCCCACTGTATTTCAAAGTGAGTTTAACATTTCCATGATAACTTTTTGGGATAGAAATGTCCATATGTCCATGAAGTTTGGTGCATGGCAGTCTTGCTGCTAAATTAGAGTTATACACTGTTTCTTTAGCATAAGGTTATATAACTTTTCATGTAATTTTTATCATTTATAAGATAAATCACAAAATAATTGTTAAAAATTTCAGATACCACATGATTAAGGAACAAACTCCAAACTTCAAGGAATCTAGCTCAATAGTGCTATGCCTCTCCTGATAGATCAAATAATGTGGTAGCTTAATAAGTCAGCTCCTCCTAACAGTTCTTACCTCAGATATTACTGAATCATTTATCTCTTAAAAGGCAGCCCTGCCTTCACATTTTTAGCAATGGTCATAGGAGTCTATGAGGTGTACCTTCATCATTGATAGAGTTTATGAACCTTTGGGTTATTACAATGTGACTTGAGTTTCCTAGAAAGCAACAGTTCCAAAGTTTTCATGAGTTTCTATGGACTAATGTCTCATGCATGCAACAGTCACTTAATAAATGCTGGCTATGCTGAATGAAAACACAAGACATACTGTAATTCTTATCTGATACTGTGATTTGATGTACAAGTCTGCTGGCTTTCTTTGTGGAATGTGGTATATACGAGATTTGAAAATGGAGGGTAATTCATGTGAAGGACAATATTATTTGAAGACCCATGAATCAACCCCAGGGGGTTGTATTAAGCAAGATTAAAACTATTAAAACATCATTAACATGAAAATATAATGTGACCCACTTTTATGAATAAACAATGATTTACTGATTATATTGACAATTGATGAAGCTTTCACTGATATTAGTGCAGGGAAATTTCACAGCTGAGGATGACTCCCTCATAAGAGACCATATATATTATTGAAATAAATAATTTTACATCATCTGTTAGGGAACATAAAGTTTTTCATCCTGTATTTGCCATGGAAGCTATCTGACTTGAAGACAAAATCATGACCATGAGCTTAGTGACACCCAAATTTTAGGGTTCCTTCTCAGCATGGCTATCAAATTATAGATTTGTGAGTCATTATTTCAATGAGTAGAACTAGCACCAGATAAGATGAGTGCCTTGTTTATTTGGCACTGATAGAAACAAATCTTCATAAATGAATTTTCAGATAAATTTGTATTTTAAATGCTGAAAATTGTTTTTTCATGTCTAAAATGCATTATTGTATCATAAGATAATTCCATGGAGCATAATTTACACTTCATTTGGTATCATTATGAACAGTCAAGGGCACCTGCTGGGTTGTGGACTCAATCCCCAGTAGGGGTGATGCAGGAGGCAGCTGATCAATGATTCTCTCTCACCATTGATGTTCCTATCCCTCTCCCTCCTTTCTGAAATCAATAAAAATATATTAAAAAAATAAATATGTTCATAGAAAAACTCACAAGGACATATACAAAAAAATGAATAGTAGTATTGACTGAGAAAAACGGATAAGCCTCGAAGAACCTGGGAGATGCGGGCAAAACCACACCTTCACCCGAGGCGTTGCAGCCTCTGATCAGGTCAGCCTCCCTCAAGTTTCTCTTTGGCAATCCTTCTCAATATCCACATGAATTTCCTCAGGATTTTATTACAAATGCAGATTCTGATTCAGCAGCTCTGAGGTGGAGCCTGACATTCTATATTTCTAACAAGTGCCTGGGTGAGGTTGATGCTCTGGTCTCTTCGAAGGAGAGAGAGCTCTGTCTATTGGTACTGGCCTTGTGGTTCCAGATCCCACGAGCACTGGTTATAGCACAATTCTTCCCTTGGGATACTCATGAAATTAATAGATTAAACGTCTTCCCCTCCCCAACATGAGATAACTCGGATTACTGTTTCTTGCAACCAGAGCCCTGATTAAACCCCCTCATAGCCAACTGTAAGTTCTGTAAGATCAGGGGATACTTGTTAGCCAGCTTTGTAGCCCCCAAAGCACCTACACTTGTGCTGGGCACACACTGAGCACTCAAACAATTTTCAAACAAATGAATTAAACAACTAAGGACAAAACTACCTCTTTCGCCCTAGCTGGTTTGGCTCAGTGGATAGAGCGTCGGCCTGCGGACTGAAGGATCTTGGGTTCGATTCCCATCAAGGCCGCATGCTCAGGTTGTGGGCTTGATCTCCAGTAGGGGGCGTGCAGGAGGCAGCCGATCAATGATTCTCATCATTGATGTTTCTATCTCTCCCTCTCTGAAATCAATAAAAATATATTTTAAAAAATACACTAGAAAACGATCTCTTCCTCTAAATGTATAATGAATGCAACAACCTTGATTCTAATGGCAGGATCCAGTTAGGACCCCAACCACACAGACTATGCTACCTGGCAGTCAGTGAGGGCAAGTGGGGATTCAGATTCTGCCCCATCTAGTTTCCCAGTGCTAGACTGGCAGATCCTGCTTCTCCCCACTTGTCTGAGTGTGTGTGTGTGTGTGTGTGTGTGTGTGTGTGTGTGTGTGTGTGTCTCGGGGATGCATAAGGTTCTTGCTAAAGAAAGTTTCAATTACATGTTTTAGCATACTTATTTTGAAAAATCAAGTGCTCAACCCTTTTCAAGATTTTATTTTTACTGTACACAATGGAATCATGTACAAAATGGTATTTACTCCAGAATTTCATTATTTCTAACTTGTCAGTCTCTTCATGACATGACAGAGGTCCCATTTAAAAAACAACTTACTTCAGTCTAACCTAAATAATATCAAACTAATCCGTACCTGAAATGTGTGTTATTTCATCTTTTATATCCTTAATCTCAGCTTGGACTATTGTTAAATTAGATATTTTTTCATGTAAGAAAGCAATTTCTTTTTCTCTTTGTAGTAAGTCAGCAACCAGTCTCCCAATGCGTAGTGTTAAATCATTTACCAACGGTTCCAAACGGGAAAAGTCCTTCTTTAGATTATACACCTTAGGCTTTAGATCATTTGCAAAAGTCACTGTCTTCAGAACTTTAGCTCTGTCACTTTCTAAGCTTAACAACCTGTCTGTGTGCTTGTTGAAGTCACTCTTTAGCTCCGAAAGCATCTTCTTAACAGAGTTAATTCTCTGTGAATTTTCAGATGCTGTCTTTCGGAGCATTGCTGTTCGGTCAATGCTGCTGGAAAGGAGATCACCTATGTTTTTTACTGTATTTTTTTCTGTTTTTTCTATTTTACTTTCCAGTTCTTGCACAGAGTCTGTCAAGGATGTTATATCAGTTACTAAACCTGAAATACGGCGTAGATCTGTCTTTATAGTTGTAATCTTGAGACCAACATCTTTTGCCGTGGAAGTTGTACTTTGGTCTACTTTTGTAATATCTTGTGAAAGAGTCGTCAAATTGTTGTTCAATATGCCCTGTTTTTCAGTTATCCTGTTGGACCAAGTTTTCAACTCATAAATTTCCTCCTGTAGATGCTTCAGATGAGCAATTATTTGAAAAGACTTCCATTGTTCCATGATAGCTTCAGACTTCTGACACTATAAGAAAATATAATACCACAGTAACTAAGTTGATTAAGATCTCAACAGTTAAAATTTAACTTAAATTTTGTTAATCCTCACCCGAGGGTATTTTTCCATTGATATTTAGGGAGAGTGTAAGAGAGAGGGAAAGACAGAGAGAAACATCGATGTGAGAGAAACACACACATCGATTGGTTGCCTCCTGTACGAGCCCCAACCAGGGGAGGAACATGCAACCAAGGTACCTGCCCTTGACCGGAATCGAACGCTGACGTTCTATCCACTGAGCCAAACCGGCTGGGCTCGACTTAAATTTTATGTTAGTTTTAACCATAATTTCACTGCTCCTCTGGAAAGCATTTGATAAAAGATGTATTAAGTATATTACTAATGAATAAGAAGGAAAACTAAGGAAATATAAAATGTTACTAAGAATGACATTTTTCAGTTATTATTTTTGTACTATCAATCCTCTGTACAGTGACAAAATGAACTAAATAATAGTGACTTATTTTTCTGTTGCTGGAGAAGGGAGGAGCCTTCTAGATGAGCACTGGTAGAATTGGAGGGTCAAACAAGGCACTATAACTTCTGAGACATAAATTGTGTGTAGTTATAACAACTGCCAGAATGAATGTCCAAGACACTTTAAATACAATTACCGTCCTATTACTTTTATGAATAATTTTCTGGGGTATCTATCTTGAATAGTTCAATTTAACTAATTCTTAAGTTCCTAATATGTTAGTAGGCATGCCAGGTGTGAGAGACATAAAGATGAGTACAGCTTAGGCTTGAGATGGCGAACCTATGACATGCTTGTCAGAGGTGACACGTGAACTCATTTTTTTGGTTGATTTTTCTTTGTTAAATGACATTTAAATATATAAAATAAATATCAAAAATATAAATCTTTGTTTTACTATGGTTGCAAATATAAAAAAATTTCTATATGTGGCACGGCACCAGAGTTAAGTTAGGGTTTTTCAAAATGCTGACACACCGAGCTCAAAAGGTTCGCCATCATTGGTAGGCTGTGGTCTCAATTCAGTTTATTGGTTTAGTAGAGAAGACAGGTGAAAAACAAAACAACAAATAACAAAAGCTATCTCCACGGTTCCAAAATTCCATGATTCCAAATACAAGTGGTTCTCAGTTCTTGTATGTTTCAATGCCATTGTCCTTCCCCACCATCCACTGTATACTGATATCTCTGAACTGTCTTTTTGGTTTAACTTGGACACATTAGCTGATGAACATTTTGAGTGCCTGGCATTATTTCAAGTTGTTTTTGTTGTTGGCGGTGGTGTGTGCAGGAGGCAACCAGTCAATGTGTCTCTCCCACATCAATGTTTCTCTCCCCCCGCCCCCACCTTTTGATAGAGAAGTTAAATTGTGAAAATGTCATTGCAGCTATGGCAATAAGGGACAGCCACAAATGGGAAGGAAATCGAGTAGTGATTGCAAAACCACGTTTTATTTTTAAGGGGAAAGTTTTGCAATAAAATGTATTCGCTAAAACAGAAGATCCCCAAGGGTGAAAAGAGATGGCTTACTTTCACCTATTTCATTACTAGGTTATCATTTATTAATGTATCTACTCTGTAAATGTTGTTTAATAGCATATAATTAAGATACCTCAGAAAGAGCTAAGTTTATTCTTAAAGGATAAGATCACTAAGAAGCTGCTAGTAAGCCTCTTTGTTTTACTTGGTAGCTTACAAAAGCAATTTATCAAGAACTTCCACTGACCTTTACTAAAATATAAACTCGATACATACACTGTAGGAATTGTCTACTAATTGTTTTACTGAATTATTTTTAAGAATTACTTATGGCTTGCTTAAGCTACTTAGTTAGGATGTACAGAAGACAGGGAGAGTCTACTAGTACCAGTAGCAGTTCAAAAGATTCAGCCAATAATTTGAATATTTACCAAGTTATATATATGCTAGAGGCCCGGTGCATGAAATTCGTGCAGGGGGGGGGCGGGGGGAGGTCCCTTAGCCTGGCCTGTGCCCTCTCGTCATCTGGAAGCCCTTGGGGACATTCCTCTCACAGTCTGGGACCCCTTGCTCCTTACCGCCTGCCTGCTCGCTGCTCCTTACTGCTTGGCTCGCTGCTCCTTAGCGTTGCCACAGAGGTGGGAGAGGCTGCCGCCACCGCCACTGTGCTCGCCAGCCGTGAGCCTGGCTTCTGGCTGAGTGGTGCTCCCACTGTGGGAGCACACTGACCACCAGGAGGCAGCTCCTGCATTGAGAGTCTGTCCCCTGGTGGTCAGTGCGCATCATAGTAACCAGTCGTTCTGGTTGTTCCGCCGTTAACGGTTGCTTAGGCTTTTATTATATAGATGCAAAGTACTAAGCTAGATTGTCCTACAATGATAAATATTGTCTGGATATACAAACATAACAACATGGTGTCAGGGAATGATTTCTGGGTCCAATTGGCTTTCCAAAAACTTTGCTAAAAAAATCTTTGAACTGCACTAAACGACCTGGAAAATGTCTCTAAAATTTAAGACCACTTTAAGCCTGAAGGAATCATATCATTTGGTACAATTCCCTCATTTTACAAATTAAAAACCTCAAAATCAATTGCCCAAGAACACACACTTGGTGGCAAAGCCTAGGTCAGAAGATTCCCAACTAAGGTTCTTTCTCCTCCCCTGCTTTCTCACTCTTTCCTAAACATTGATTAATTCCTTCTTATGCCCAAGGCCCAAACAATTTTAGGTCACAGTTACAACTTTTGAGTGACTCACAGTCTAGTTTAATAGCGATATGGTAGTCGTTACTTGGCTACCACCAAGTTTGGCTGAATTACAGCTTTTTGAATCCTTAGGGTAGTTCTACTTACAGGTTCCTTGTGATTTTTTTCCCTCCCCTGGTTGAACAGCAGTGGGTTGCATCGAATAGTGTGAGGTCAGTGGCCTCTGGAGTTGGACAGACCCAAAAGCTTGTTTGCAAGATTCTTAATCTTGCTGAGTCTCAATGTCCTCATTTGTAAAATGGGTCATAGTTAGCAAAGCTGTGGTGAGAACGCTAATGAACAAAATAAACTAACAAACAAAACAGAAACAAACTCATAGATACAGAGAACAGACTGACAGCTGTCAGAGGGGAGAAGTTAGGGGGGCTGGGTGAAACAGGTGAAGGGATTCAGCAAAAACACCACCACCAAAAACTCATAGACACAAACAACAGTATGGTGATTACCAGAAGGAAAGCGGGTGGGAGCAGGTAGGGGAGGATAAATGGTGATGGAAGGAGACTTGGCTTAGGGTGGTGAACACACAATATATAGATGGTGTATTATAGAATTGTACCCCTGAAACATATAAATTTATTAACCAATGTCACCCCAATAAACTCAATTAAAAAAAAGGAAAAAAAGACATGCCAAGTGCCTGGATGACGTGACTCAGTGGTTGAGCACTGACCTAAGAACCAGGAGGTTATGGTTCCATTCCCCGTCAGGGCACTGGAGCATGCAGGAGGCAGCCCATCCATGGTTCTCTCGCATCACTGATGTTTCTATCTCTCTCTCTCCCTCTCACTTCCTCTCTGAAATCGACAAAAACATATTTTAAAAAATCATGATGATGTATCAAATATGGTGATAGGCCAAACAATTAAGTAAATAGAAATGAAGGATACAAGAGATCACATCTCTCTGACAGGATGGAGGTTGAAAGAACAAACTCCAGCTAACTTTATAATCTATTTTATTAGTACAAAAATAAAAACAAAGAAATACAATTTTGTCAGTGCACACAGACAAGAACTTAGACATTCAGAACTCAAGGAATTTATGTTAAGATTCCAGAAATTAATGCTGTGACTTTTAATAGAAAGACTCTTCCATTTTTATGACCCACGGCTATCCACCGTAATAGAACGTATTTGGGATTTCTCCCAAAATGTGTAAATTTACATAGTACAACTACCTGACCATAACTACCTTTTGTAACTGATTGCTTTCAAGTTGTTTGTGCTTAATTCCACTGAAACTGCATTACAAAAAGGGACTACAGTTGGTTATTGGCAAGAATAAACAAGAATAGTACTTCCATATACAGTTGTCTCAGTTTTCAACACCAAGTTTGGACACTCTTGATATATCAGTTTACCAATAAAAGTCTCATGTGTTCCCCCCAATCCTGCACATTTCTGATTATCGTTATTAGAAAAATACGGCTAGGTCTCTGCTTAATCACCTTGGTATGCCTGTCTTATTCCTTGTGACTCTATTACGTAATTTTGAGTAAAATAAATCACTATGTGAAACAAATATGTTTGGGTAATTAGTTTGGGGACCCTTTAAAATAATGACATACTTTTAATTACCCTAATTGTCACCATTTCTCTCTCTTTTTTAAATGTTTATTTTTTGTGTACCTGGCTCACTGTGGGGAGTGGTCCTGGGGCAAAGGAGAGAGGGTGGAGCAGAGCCTGAAAAGCAGAACCTTTTATTTTAATTTTTTAAAAAATATGTTTTTATTGATTTTTAGAGAAAGGAAAGGAAAGGGAGAGATAGAAACCCCGATCAGCTGCCTCCTGCAAGTCCCCTACTGGGGATGGAGCACACAACCAGGGCATGTGCCTTGACCACCTAGGAATCGATGGGTGACTTCTTGGTGCATAGGTTCAGCCACACCAGCTGGGCAAGCAGAACCTTTTAAATTTGTTTCATCAAATCCTGTGCCTGTGTGAAGAGGCTGAAGGTTGCACCTCTGGATGAGAAAGTAACCACTCAGGCTTGGGGAAGGCGAGTGAAGGGGATGCCTGGAGAGCTGTGAGATGTTGGGAAGCTGAACTAGTCCCCAGAAAGGGGAAGCAGAGGTGGCAGGCTGGCTCTCATTTCTCGTCTTGCTGCCTTTTCCTCTTTAAAACAGGCCACAGGCTTATTGGTCTATGTTCTCGATAGAGTAATTTACCTAGAGATCCTGTATCTAGCAAACTCAGGAGTCTGTAACACAGTCAAAACTTTAAAAAAAAAAAAAGCCCAGCTATACAGAGATATTCCAAAAGTCCATATTTAAAGCATACACATGTCATTCCTAGGAAAAGCCTTAAAAAAAAAACCCCAAAAACAAACAGAACAAAAAAAAACCCCTCAACCATATGGGGGGGGGGGCAAAAGTAGGCTTACAGTTGTTTGTATGGAAAATAATACACTAATGAATAAATAATAATACAAGAATAAACTTTTGCTTACTCACAACTGTAAACCTACTTTTGCCCCACTCTATATTACTCTTATTTAAAAATTCTTACAAGTATCTATAACACAGTTTAGAACCTTAACAAAAAGTAAAAACATTTCCAGGGTTCCATAGTTTTCAAAAAGTGCATGTTAATTCATCGCAAAGTACCCCAATCTTGCTCTTGGGCATGTTATTTTTTTAGTTTAGACAAAATTCCTATGAACTCCGTGGTCTGGATTCTTAGCCTGTAGTAAATTACAAGGGAAATGAAGGCCCGGCTGAGGCTGGCACTTCACCGACCCACCTGACAGTAACAGGTCAGTGGGTCACCTTTTCAGGTGACAGAAGAGATATAAGTAGACATAAGGTTTGACTTTTGCTTACTCACAACTGTAAACCTACTTTTGCCCCACTCTATATTACTCTTATTTAAAAATTCTTACAAGTATCTATAACACAGTTTAGAACCTTAACAAAAAGTAAAAACATTTCCAGGGTTCCATAGTTTTCAAAAAGTGCATGTTAATTCATCGCAAAGTACCCCAATCTTGCTCTTGGGCATGTTATTTTTTTAGTTTAGACAAAATTCCTATGAACTCCGTGGTCTGGATTCTTAGCCTGTAGTAAATTACAAGGGAAATGAAGGCCCGGCTGAGGCTGGCACTTCACCGACCCACCTGACAGTAACAGGTCAGTGGGTCACCTTTTCAGGTGACAGAAGAGATATAAGTAGACATAAGGTTTGAAAAAATAGCAAACTGGGGTCACTTAGTGAGGAGGTAAACACCCCTCATTAGCTACTAGACTCGAGATATTAATATATTTGGGTCCAATGGGTGAAATTCATAATAATGACCAGTAATTATTAGAAAAACATGAAAAATATTAAGGATATTACTTTAAAAAAAGTATATATATATATAAAGAATTATTTCTATTTAAAATGATTAAAATGAAATAAGTTGTATTGCTTAGAGATAAGCTTTGATTGTCTGGATAATACACTTCTGTGGACATCTCACCGCTTTCCCAATAATGTAGGGTAAGTGAGACATATCAAAATAACACAGAAGCATGGAACTAATAAATTGATGTACAATAATATGGTTCATCAGAATAAATGTAGTGCGTTTAAAGGTCACTATCAATTCCTTTATTTTCTAGATTACGTTCTTTTAAAGTTCCCTTTTCCCCTGCACTTGAATATACTATAAAGTCATGAACTTTTCCTTTCAGAACGTCCAGTTCATTTTGCATCTTTAATATGCTGTTGTCGTACTGAAGTCCTTCAAGAGTTTTCTGCATCTCCATGATCTCAGATACTGCTTTCAGCATATCATCTTCCATATTGAACATCTGAAGAGTTAAATCTTCCATTTTCTTTTCTGTCCCTATCAGATCCTGAGAGACTCTGAGAACAGAGCGAATTGCACTTTCAATGGTTGGCAAATGTGTCTTGCATTCCTCAACTTTGGGTTCGTAGTTGGAAAGCTTATTAGTCAGGTCTTCATCTCTGGCCAAGAGAGCATGCTGTTCCTCTTCCAACTTTTCCACTGCTTTTGCATCAGAGCCCAGCTGCTCTTCGACTCGCAGAAGATCCTCTTCTTCTTGTCTTTTCACTGTTCTGATATTTCTGAGTGTGCTGTCTTCCAGATCTTTTACCCTTTCCGTGAGCAACTTTATTCCTTGTTCAGCTGAGTTAATTTGGACAGTCACTTGCGAATGCATATGCTTTGATTCTGATTTGAAAGTGTCTGTATCAGCATTCATTTCTTCCAGGCTTCTCTCCCAGAAATTTGTGACATTTTGGAATTTCTCATTAAGGCTTTGCATCTTTTGAGCGAGCATCTCTTCACTAATTTGAATGTCATGCATGATATGCTGGAGGCTGGATACTTCCTGTTCAACCTGGGTCACCAAAGACATGGATGATGTAGCTTCTTGCAGGATACTTTCAGTAGACTCAAGCTGCATTTATAACACAAAACAATTCCCAAGGCTACTTAATAACTTTTATATTAGGGAAACATACTTTAACAGTCACGTGCCAATTTCAAATTCTGAAGATGTCTAAAATACCAAGTATATCAGAGCCACACTGGCAAAAAACATTTATTACTTTCACGTTGTTTTAACGTATTTAAATTTAATAGATTAGCACTATGGCAGAGAAATATACCTGAACTTATAATCCTAAATATTTGCACATTTTCATGGAGGGATATTCAACTGAAAGATAATGCTAAAGGGAGCCTGGAGTATAGCACATTTCTTTCTTTTTTTACTCCAATGAAAAGCAACTTAGTTGTTATTTCTATGGCTATTTGAATTTTTAAGAAACTGTAAGTTAGTTATACAATTTTTTCACTTTTCTAAATCCAATGATTCTGGAAGAGTTTCTGCCTGAAAAAAAAATTGGTTGACCGACCTTTGTGGAGAAGATACCAGAATCAGATCTTACAAATATCACAAAGGCAAAATGAAGAAAAAGCTAGTGTAGTGAGACAACTATGTCAAATAGCAAAGTGTCCTAAATATCTGTAAATTATGGTAAGCTCCTGGCATGTCCTCATGTGTCTGGAACATAGGTAGACGAGGTTGTGCGTCTCTCTTAGTCTATACTTACAAAGATAACAGCCTTAGAGACACAGGAAGGACTAGAAATGAATATTAATTTATCAAATGTTTGCAGCCTTGTGTTGAAGACTTAATACTGTTCAAGACACAGTTCTGCCCTTAAGCAGCTTAGTGTAATTGGGGTGAAAGCCAAGTCTATATACGCTATGATAGGGGAAGAACTATGGAAGCACTTACATGGGGCACCCAAACGAGACTGATGATCAAGGAAAGTATTCTAGAAGCATTATCTAGTATCTGCTTCTAATTACTTCCTCCCTAAATCATCCTACACACTACAGTCAAATTAAGCTTTTAGGAACTGCTATGTATATCGTGGTACAATATGATGTTTCCTAAAATATTGGTACAATATGATGTTTTCTAGGTTCAAGTCTCAAATTCTATAACCTCTCTCTATACTTGTCTTCCCTCCTCTTTGCTTAGCTGAGTTCTGTCCTTCCTTCAAGGCTCAGACCAGATCTCAGCTCTTCAGTGCAGCATTCTCCCATAACCCTAGTCCAGTGATGGCGAACCTATGACACGCGTGTCAGAGGTGACACGCGAACTCATTTTTTTTTGGTTGATTTTTCTTTGTTAAATGGCATTTAAATTTATACAATAAATATCAAAAATATAAGTCTTTGTTTTACTATGGTTGAAAATATCAAAAAAATTTCTATATGTGACATGGCACCAGAGTTAAGTTAGGGTTTTTCAAAATGCTGACACGCTGAGCTCAAAAGGTTCGCCATCACTGCCCTAGTCTCACAGCCCGAACTCCTGTACAGCAGCACATACTGTATTATGTATTTGTCACCTATTTGGCACTCAGCACATATGATTCAAGAATTTTTGAGTGTTCACTCTGGGCAGGACCTGTGCTAGACACTGGACATAAAATTATAGATATAGTATAGTCCCTGACTTCACAATTTGGCAGGGGAGACAGAGATTTGGATCTTTTATATTCTAGAGTTCCAGTAAGACTTATTGAGTGTCCTTTGTTTCATTATTATATAGAGATATAGGAATATAGAGATACAAGACACTGTGATTGGCCTAAAGATCAGAAAAGGAGTCAATTAACAACAACAAAATCACAATAGATTATGACTTGTGTTATGAGAGAATTAGCACGGGAGAATGGATGCTTAAGGAGAGGTAGAAGTCTGGATCTCAGTGAGAGAAGGCTTAGGAAGTGACTCGGAAATCTGACCCCTTAACAGACTGATGAATGAGACAGTGAAGATAGGAGAGCTTCTAAATTCCTTAGGCGAAGAGAGCATATCTGGCACATTTTTGTAGTCCTCGTATCTCGAGGTATAAAGAACATGTTTGCTGATGTTTAGGAAGAAGAATGGTGTCCAGCCGGCATGGCTCAGGGGCTGAGCGTCGACCTATGAACCAAGAGGTCACGGTTTGATTCCTAGTCAGGGCACATGCCCAGGTTGGGGCTCAATCCCCAGTGGGGGGCGTGCAGGAGGCAGCTGATGAATGATTCTCTCTCATCATTGATGTTTCTGTCTCTCTCTTCCTCTCCCTTCCTCTCTGAAATCAATAAAAATTTATTTTAAAAAAAAAAGAAAGAAAAAGAAAGAAGAATGGCCATAAACCTTCTGGGCCCACCCCCATCATACCTGAAGCAGTTCCAGGTGACAGCTGGGAGCAATGTGCAACCCCACTGAATAATGTAATAGGACCACTTTGAAACCTTGTTTACAAATTATCTTCAGTGCACACATGTAGCCACAATACAAGTTCCTTTAAAAGCCAATTTTGAGAAATACTTATACTTTGGTAATACTGCTAGGTTTAGTTGTCTTGTTAGCAGCATTTTGAAGAGGCAAGCTTATCTTCCCCAAAGGTAATTTCCTACCTGGACTGTTCATCAGAGCGTCACTATATTCTGGGGCATATATCTCAAGAGTCCCAAAAGTTCAAAAGGATAACAAGGTTTCAGGATTTAATTTGAAAACATATACAGTGACTAGTATACCACAACAGCTGTCATTTATGGGCTGCCAATATATTCTAATAGTTTTTCATTTTTTTAAAGAGAGTGAATACCTTAAATTTATTACTGCTTGAAAGTTTTCAAAGAGTTTACATATGTATTGTATCTCATCTGATCCGTACACAAATTTTGTTATTCTCATTTAATGAATGAGGAAACGGAGGCCAAGAGGAGTTCAGGTGATTTTTTTCTGAGGTGATGTAGTTGTGAGGGCGTCCAGGTCTAGTTGTTTTTTCCTCCTACGGCACGACGCTAGCCGTGAGGATCAGCTTTGTGAGAAGGCAGCTGTTGTTAAAGTACTCCTAGGCAGGCTGGGAGAGAAAGAGCTATGCAAAGACTGAATATTTTTTGGATCCTATGATAATATATATTTTAATAGTTAAAAAATCTGCTTTAAAAAGCATTTTATTTGCTACCAATTTTTTTCATTTAAAAAGGAAATCTTTCTTCAAAATTTGCTTTCCATAGCTTTTAAGCACATTCAGTTTCTGTTTTCTGACATTTTTTTTCTATCATCATCTCCCTGATGAGAGGGGCCTCCAACAATTATAACCAGATTCCAACTTGAGCTCTACATCAAAATACCAATTCTTTTTTTAAAAAATATTTTTTTTATTGATTTTTTACAGAGAGGAAGGGAGAGGGATAGAGAGTTAGAAACATCGATCAGCTGCCTCCTGCACACTCCCTACTGGGTATGTGCCTGCAACCAAGGTACATGCCCTTGACCGGAATCGCAGGCCGACGCTCTATCCATTGAGCCAAACCGGCCAGGGCAAAATACCAATTCTTGCAGCTCCTTCCCAGAGGCCCCTAAGCTCACATTCGATCCCCTGGCATGTTCGAGGGGATGTATGATTATCATCCACGGCTTTTACCTTCTGAGGGAATTATATGCCCATTTTGTGCATGAAGCTGCAGGAACTTAGACACTTTATTTTTTTTTCTGTTTATTTTTATAACAATTCTTTTTTTTTTTTAATTGATTTTTTACAGAGAGGAAGGGAGAGATAGAGAGTTAGAAACATCGATCAGTTGCCTCCTGCACATCTCCTTCTGGGGATGTGCCCACAACCCAGGTACATGCCCTTGACCGGAATCGAACCTGGGACCTTTCAGTCCGCAGACCGATGCTTTATCCACTGAGCCAAACCGGTTTCGGCTTATAACATTCTTGCTCACCCTGGTGCCAGACACAAGTCCTATCTACCTTATGACTTAAGTAAAGATATCGTGCATGAAGAAATGAACAAACAAGATATGTTTCCCAATGATACTTTGGTCCCCAGTAGCCAGGCAAGGCCCACAGATGTCTCGTTGATTACAGCAGACCCTCTCCTGAGAAGTGTAGTAGTTAACATTTTTTTAATCGGTTGCACATTTCTAAGAATCACAGAAATAATGCATCTGCATTTGCAGCTTGAAGAAACACAACAAAGACATGGATTTCAATTTTCATTTGGCTACAAAATCAATATTTATTTTTAGGTTAATCAGTCTTATATGCACACATATATGTTTACCAAGCAGGAAGTAAAGAATAAAACACTGATGAAACTTTGCCCAACAAATGCTTTTCCTATTCTAATTTTATACCAAAATATCAAGCATATACACTTGATATTTAAATAGAAAATTGAGGTCACCTCAATATGAGCATGTTAAGTCTTTTCAAACAATAACAGTAGTTGTATTTTAAAAAATTATTTTCCTTTCAAAATGTAATTTAATTCTAAATTGGATTGAAGGGAGAATGTAAAAAGGTAGGGAGACCTGTGAGAGTTAAAATAGCATTGCTTAAAAGGCAAAAAAAAAAAAAAAGAATTTATGAACTGGGGTAGAATGATGATAGGAGGAAGGAAAGTGGAAAAAAATCTTCCCAAATAAGACAATTAATAATTACCTTTTCTGAAATTAAACTGATTTTACTTTGAAGCCCTTGGAATTCGTTGTTTTCTATTTTCAGTAATTGGTATTCGTTTTCCACCTTTGCAAACTTTTCCGATTGTTGAAATACAAACCTGGAAAAGAAAAAAAAATCACTATCTTACCTAATTCATATCTATTTAAGTCTGAATTTTAAAGGAGTATTTTATACCCACTTCTGGTAAGGACGACATAAATTCTGGTATGGGTACTGGCAGCTTTTATTACTTTATTTCAATAAATATTTAGGTAGGTAGTGGTTAAATGGTACTACTCATGCAAAGATGAATGAAACTGCTCCTGTTCAAGTTCACAGCTAGCTTAGTGAGCAAGACGGTGTGATAGTTGTAATAGATATATGCAGAATATTTTGAAGGAGGAAATAATGAATTATTTATTTTTTTAAAGGTCTTAGTCTTTGCCTTTTTATTAATTAATTAATTTTTTTACAGAGAGGAAGGGAGAGGGAGAGTTAGAAACATCGATGAGAGAGAAACATCGATCAGCTGCCTCCTGCACACCCCCTACTGGGGATGTGCCCGCAACCAAGGTACATGCCCTCGACCGGAATTGAACCGAGGACCCTTCAGTCCACTGGCCAACACTCCATCCGCTGAGCCAAACCGGTTAGGGCAATAATGAATTATTTAGAAAAAAAATGTGATCTCTACTATTTTGCCTATGTAAAAAAAAGCATTTTTAAATGAAAATGTAAAAGAGAAAAAAAAGCAAGCAGTGGAATGGAAGAAGACATGATGGTGATTAGAAGTTGCAAAATAACCAGACTCAAAACTGATGAACACAGGAGTCACTGTTAAAGTGACAATAGAACACATATGCAGTGCAAGGCGTATCATATACACAATTGTTTATAATAAGAAATACACGTCATATCGATGTACTTTGGATGTCCTAAAATTGGAGTGTTTTTCCATCTGGCAGATAGTGCAGGGTAGAAGCATGAAAAAGTTATCCCAGTTTTAAAAACTATAAATGGACTGTTTTGTGTTTAGAACTTGAAATGAGCAAGCACAAAAGACATGCTTCGAATATAGTACCATTCTGGTCCATCTACTTTGACTCAATTCTTTGGGATCTGAAGGAGCAGCAGTTGAAATTCTTCGTGTGTTTGATGCATCCAAAAGCAGTGGAGGGTTGGGAGGAGGGGGGCAAAAAGGGAGAAAATGGGAGTCATCTGTAATGCTGTCCACAATAAAAAGAAAAAAAGAATAATAGCATGACACAGCCAGCCATTTTTCTATCATATTAAATTTTTAATAAATTTCTGCTATTAGTACAAAAAAAAAAAAAAGGCAGTGGAGCCCTGTTCAGGTGGCTCAGCTGGCTGGAGTATCATCCTGTACACCAAAAGGTTGCAGGTTCAATTCCTGGTCAGGGCACATGCCCAGGTTGTAGGTTCGATCCTGGATGGGGTGCATACAAGAGGCAACCTATCAATGTTTCTCTCTCTCTCAAATCAATAAAAACATATCCTCGAATGAGGATTGAAAAAAAAAAAAAGGCAGGTGGAGCAAAACCCGTGAAGCCAGTGTCTAAATCGGAGTACACAGACCAGTGGTTCAAAAGCTTTGCTGCATATTGGAGTCACCTGGCAGTTTTAAAAAAGTCTGATCCCTGGGTCACACACACAGAAATTCTGATGTAATTGGTTGGGGATTTGACTTGGATATTGTAAAATTTAAAAGCTTTCCAGGTTATCCGAATGCTCAGCAAAGTAAAAACCACTAATTGACACTGGTTTGTGAAATTGACTTCGGAAGTCAAACATTTAAAGATCCCAAAATTCAATGGAGGGGTAGAAGATATGAGCTTTGTGCATCATTGCAAAGGTGGTGACATTTCAAACTCATAAATGTCATCATTATGCTGTTTCTATAAAACTATTCAGAACTAAAATAGACTTTTTGCTTTTTAAACAAATGTTTACAATGTCAGATGAAATAAATTTATTTTAGTGATGGCTCCCATCCATTCTATAACACTGAATGTGCTAATAGGAACTTTTAAATAAAACTTCTGGTTATTAGAAAACGCCATTATCCTAATTTTTAAAGATGGATATGTAGCCCTGGCCGGTTTGGCTCAGTGGATAGAGCGTCGGCCTGCGGACTCAAGGGTCCCAGGTTCGATTCTGGTCAAGGGCATGTACCTTAGTTGCAGGGTACATCCTCAGTAGGGGGTGTGCAGGAGGCAGCTGATTGATGTTTCTCTCTCATCGATGTTTCTAACTCTCTATTCCTCTCCCTTTCTCTCTGTAAAAAATCAGTAATATATATATATATTTTTTAAAAAGATGGATATGTAGACTTAATTCTCTTTTGATTGGTTGTTTCATTCTTGGCTTTTAAGAGGTTCTTTTCAGAGTATAGACTTATCTGAGACCAATAGACCAAGGATAGAGACCATTCTAAAGAAATACATCTAATTTCAAGGACTTTAATTCTGAAAAACTAATTTTTAAAATAGGCTTTTTAACAGGAGCAGTTCAAAGCCTTTTTACACCCATCTTCCCTAGTTTAGATGAGACAAACAATTAGGGTCTGCTAAGGGCTACAGCTTGTAGTTGAAGAAAGAAAAGAACTATAAGTAGTTCTGGAGTAAAGATTTCTATCTCTAGGGCCTTGCCTCTTCTTAGATTAATAATACTGGTTGAGTGTGGATTTGGGCAACTTTGGCTCTGCCATTTACTAGCTATATAACCTCGCTAGGTAAGCTATTGAAGTTATCTTTGCTAGTTTCCTCATCTGTCAAGAGGGGATACTACTACTGAGTTCATAGGGTTGTGGTACAGATTAAATAGGTTCTTATTTGCAAAGCTCCTAGAGACAGTGCCTAGAGCAGGGGTGGGCAACCCCTGGCACGCATGCCAAACATGGCATGCCAGTAACTTTTGCTGGCACGCGAAACCCTCTCTTATAACCTTCCATTTACAATTTTTTCTTAATATCGACTTTTTTTATTTTTCAGATAAATTCAGTGTAGGTGCATCTTAGATAAATAATTTTACATAACAAGTTATCTTAAAGACCATAGACATGGATTGACCAGAGAGGGGAAGAGCAATTTCTATGCCTCTGCCCTAACTCTCCCTACCTTCCTAGATCTGACCAGTGTTTTGGTTTCATCCACATACGCTTGTGAATCTTTGTCCTCAGTGATGAATTTTGTTAAGTCTCGTAATAGGAGTAGCCTGACGGATGAAAGTAGTAGCTTGTGCATATCTCTGAAGGTCACGATATATAAACCTGATGTAAAATCTCTGTCATCAGTGATGCAGCAGCAAAAGTCCCACTGATAATATCAAACGGGGTCATAAAGTTTCCTGTCGGATTAGCAGTGTACATGTATACATTAAAAAAATAAATGTATTTTTCACCATCATATACTGTTTTTGTCGCTCGAATGAATTTTATTTCTTCAAGGTTCTTCACATAGGTACACATTAAGAGATATCACGTAGGCGTAACATGTTCTCAAAAAATTAGGGTTGGCATGCAGAAGAATTTTGAGTCAGAGATTTTGCTGGTTTTGTCACGCACTCACAAAAAGGTTGCCCACCCCTGGCCTAGAGTGTAACACCTCAGCTGTTCTCTTGTACCCTTGCCTTTTCTTATGGACTGCATTGTGCAGCTACTTTGCCATCCTTCTGACAAGCCTATAGTGGGTGATAGAAACCCCAGGCTTGTCCCCCTTTGAAACCAGGGTAGGGTTTATAGCAAATGAAGGATGCAATGAATGGATGAGACCTCGAACAGGAAAGAGAATAGCTCTTATTCTGTTTTGGGCCTCTTCTCCTTATCATATAGGTAAAGGTCTTGAAGCCCAGCTAGTGCGGCTCAGTGGCTGAACGTTGACCCATGCACCAGGAGGTCGCTGGTTCGATTCCAGGTCAGGGCACATGCTTGGGTTGCAGGCTCACTCCAGTGGGGGCGCCTGTGGGAGGCAGCCAATCGATGTTGATGTTTCTTTCTCATAGATATTTCTATCTCTCTCCCTTCTTCTCTCTAAAATCAATAAAAACATAAATAAAAAAAAGAAAGGTCTTGGAGGCTTGGAAATGTAGGAGAAAAGGACCCAGGTTAATTGGCTACCATAGTAGGGTTTACAAAAGGAACCTTTCTGACTCCATAATCCACTGCAGTCTATAGAGACTTCATACAGATCCAGGGCCCTATAGTATTAAACTGCATTTCCACGTTGTGCTGCCTCTGCACAGCACCTTTAAGACTCTGATGGTGGCAGACAGCTGATTGAGGACTAATATTTTATAGGTGTTTCCCTGTTTCTGTTTCAACTTAATGAGAAAGAGGCAAATAACCAAAGGAAACTGTTATTATGGACCTTCAGCAAGAAAGGAAGTTTCAGGGCTACTGCTAGGGTCAGTACCCCCTTAGTCCTGTTTCATTTTTAGCCTAATACTGAATGGTCAGAAAAACATTGATTATATTCCATTTTTAAAAAATATATATATTTTTATTGATTTCGGAGAGGAAGGGAGAGGGAGGTAGAAACATCAATAATGAGAGAGAATCATGGATCGCTGCTTCCTGCACACCCCACACTGGGGATCGAGCCCACAGCCCGGGCATGTGCCCTAACCAAGAATCAAACCCTGACCTCCGGGTTCGTAGGTCGACGCTCAACCACTCAGCCAGACCGGCAGGGCAAGAATAAACTATCTTTTAGATAAAACTTCATTATCAAAAAGCTGAAAAATGGGGTTAGCCGTGATTTTGCTGTATATGACTTGTAGTGTGTTAGATGATAGACAAAACCTGAGTTAGCTGGCTGTTTAAAGAGCTTTTGACTTGCACTAGCTGGTTTGGCTCAGTGGACGGAGCGTCGGCCTGTGGACCAAAGGGTCCCAGGTTTGATTCCGGTCAAGGGCACATGCCCAGGGTTGCGGGCTCAATCCCCAGTGGGGGGCGTGCAGGAGGCAGCCAATCAATGATTCTCTCTCATCATTGATGTTTCTATCTCTCCCTCTCTCAAATCAATAAAAATATATATATAAAAAAAGAGCTTTTGACTTCTTATACATAATTATCACAAATGTGTTGAAAAAATTTTATAAAGGCAATTTAGAAATCTGTTGAAACTTCCAAGAACACATTTTTTTTTTACACTGGAACTTCTGGTTTTTAATTTACATAATTAAATAAGCTTGTAAAGTATCATTTGTGTCTTATTTAGTAACTACACAACTTTTAAACTTTTTGAAAGCAGAATTTCTTCAAAAATTTTCTTAAGAGTTTACAAACAGTATGCAAGCTAACACTCAAAGCCATATAGTCTTGGGCAACTGTTATCTCCAACATCTTATTGTTAAACTGACAAGTCAGGACTTTATCTGTTACACATTATCTACTTACTTTCTAAACAAGAATTCCAAGCCTACAGGCCTGGAGGCACTGAAGTAGAGATGTCTTGAAATCCTCCTGAGGCAGTGGAAGGGTTTAAACTTCCCCTCCCAATTTAATCTAAGTGTAAGAAGATGGATAAACTGTGTTGACAGGCACATGTATTCAATGTTGTATTTTAATAATCATGACAGTGTCAGTAAAATAAGCATTACGTATTTGACCAACTGACCTGTAGATGCTGAAGCATGTGTTCTAGAGGTAAAAAAATCTCGATGGCTTTGTTGTAATTCTAGTATTTTGAGATGCCAAATGTTTATTTGGAAAATACTTGCAAATGTCTTACCAGAATAATTTTTCATTCCTGAATTTACCATGAATACATATTTTGCTATAAACAGTGACTGAAGTCACTTCCAACTCTTGTAGCAAAAGATTTCACAAGAGCAATTAACAGTCAGCTATTTTAATAACAATCATAGAATCTGCCTGTTTTAGAAAAAAAGCTTTAGATATTGTTTTATCATTTTGCAAAGCCAGTTCAAATAAAATCTTCCTACTGAACGTAATTTCTTTGGGTCTTTACTGTAGGCACTAACAAATTCTGTGGAAAGTAACCTCACAGGGTAATCCTATCTAATAAAAGAGAAACATGGTAATTAGCCGTACGGCCGCTACCCTTCCCGTTGG